TCAGGGGCCCTGGCCACTGGAGAAGGCCTCAGGAGGCGCCGTTCCCAGCCCTGGGCCTCCGACTGCTTGTCCCGTGTTCCTCCCCGGGCTGCGGCTCCCATGGACTTAGCGGTGGCTGGAGGGGCCGAGATGCGACTTTTTCCCTTGCATCACGGTAGCAGCATTTTCCCAGCCAGGGCCTGCGTCTGTTCTCTGCACCCGGCTCACCCTGAACTGTGCTGCACGAGAAGAGCGAGGGTGAGGGGCGCTAAGGGATCTAAAAATGCCCTGATCCCCACCCGATTCTCGTGCTTAGGTGTGGCACATACCTGTGCAGGTACCTATTCACCCAGAGGGGAGATCTCCATTCCAAACACCCGAGGGGCAACAGGAGAAGCCAGGAAATCCCCAGGCACCTGATTATAAAGCAGGAGATGGAGGTTATCCCCCCACAGCCCCAGCTGTTCAGGGTTCCTAGGTCAGGCTCCAAGAAATTGTGACTGGCTAAAAAAAATTCTGAGGTTCAAAATACAGGGAGTTATTTTTCCTTGTCCTTTGGGTTTTGAGTCTTTCAAGGGTTGTGCGTTTACACCCAGCCACGGGGACTAGACATTTCCATTACCAAAAAATGAAAGTGTCTAGAGTCTGGTGTGATCCAGATGTTAAAACAGTGGCAACAGTCTGGGAATGAGTTGGCCATGCTGTGTCAGGACTAGAGAGTCTTGCCTGCCACTTAGAGCAAAAGATGAGGAATCTGGAGACTTGGATTCTGTTGCCCATCATGTCACCGCTTGAAGGGAAGCAAAAGTCCATAAACTGCACACCAAGAGGGAGAGTGGCTTCCAAAGCACCTGGGCAGCAAAACAGAGTTAGCAGAGGCCCATTTTCCAGATCCAGTATCAGTGAGGCCTGGCCCCTTTCAGCCTTAGTTATCCCATCTGTGAAATGGGTTCAATAATTCAGGTTTTGCATTGATATTGGGGGAATGAACCAAAAGCTGGTTGGTCCCACTAGCAGCCTATGGCAATACCTGCTCTTGAACCTGCCTAGTTGCTGGGACTGACAGCCCTGGGCATGAAGGGAAGTTAAAAGCCCATCAGTGGGTGGGCAGACCCTCACCCTTATTTGGCCATTGCAGACCTAGGGAAATAGGTGGAAGACAATTCAATAGACCAGGGTGAATGTGAGCTTCCTTTTGCCCTCCATGCTGAGCACTTGGCTTCTTCTCTGCTGCTCTCTTGAGTCCTTAGACTGGGAACTTCTTGGTATAAATTAATTTGAGCACAGTGTTCACACCCCTGGCAAAACTGGACAGCAATCAGGCCAAGGCCTGCAGGTCTACTTGGTAACTAACCATAGGCGCTGGTGCTGTGCACCTCCCTGCACACCCCCTGGGACTCTGCTGCAAAACACTGTCTTGCTGGAGCATGTTTCTTGTAGGCCAAAGCTTTCCAATGATTCCAGATTGACCCCTGTGTGTATAAACGATGAATTCCCTGGGGCTTACATACTGATGTACTAGAACAGAGGCATGCTGACGACTCCCCCAGGTGTGCAGGGATTACACCCAATGTTCCCTCTAACGTTTTCCATTTGTGAGTGGAATAAATTTTGTGTTGTGCACCAAGGCATGTGTGGATGTGCACCACCAGTAGAAATACATGCTGGGGCCGCTCTAATCAGCTGGGCAGCATTTGAATCTTCCTGGGTGGCCACCCCAGTGCACAGCTTACAGGGAACACTAGTTACACCTAACTTCTATATCAGCTCTGTTTGTTTTAACTAAAATGACTGTACTGGCTGACAGCGCTTGGCTGTGTCAACTTTGGGATCTGGGATGGAGCCCAAACTGAGACCTACTGCCCCCACAGGGATATAGAGCCCAAATGTCTACACTGCAGTTGTTAATCCTGGAGCCCAAGGCAGCTGAGTCAAACCAGCCACGAGGTGGCTCTTCTATTGCAGTGTAAACGTACCCATAGGTTTGAGCCGGTCCAAGGGTTACTCATGTTTTGGATCTACTTCAAGAACCCACTCTGTCTGCCTCCAGGGGCCCCCATCACCTTTAATACGCACAAAGCCTCACGTGCAAACAGACTTTGTGAATATGTATATTGTTTGGAATTTTTCCTGCACGTGTGTGTTGTACAGAAAGTAGGGGGCAACCTACATAATGGTGACATTGTAAAAGCTTTGTTTTCTAATTGAGCTTTAGCTCATGTCTTTTTTGTGCAATTTTGATAAAATTTTTTGGCAAAGTTAGAATATTGGTTTGAGTGTCTTGACTGTCCTTAGACTTTTCCCTGGAGGGGTGAGAGAGGGGAGTGGACATAGATAAATCACAAGTGCCCAAGGCTGGCTTTTGGTTGAGGGGTTCCCCTGGCAAGGTTATTCTTGGGGGGAGAGGGGTGTAAAAGCTAATGAGGGCTGGTGGCTTCACTCTTCCCTTCCCAGGTCGCAGAGCAGGGGCTGGGTCCAGCCAGATAAATGATGGGGACTGGAGTATTTGGAAAATTATTTAATAAAGCCAACAATAAATTACATTCTCATTCAACACAGCTGCCTTTGAGATACGCTCCAAGCAGCGCCGGACCCGTTCCCGGAGCGTGGCTTCCTGGCCAGCAACTACTGCAAGTCACATGCTCTCCCCCCCAAATTCAAAACAAACGTTGCACAGAGCCAAAGGCGATTCCTGCAGCTCGGAGAAGCTCGTGCGTAGCTACAGCCTTCTACAAACAACCGAAAGAAAAATCATAATCCAGAAACGAGAGATGAGGTTCCAGTCAGTTCATAGGGACATAAGCCCCAGTTCGGTACAAAATAACATTGGGGGTTTCAGGGTCCAGTGATATTTACGATTGTCACAGGGAGGAAAGGATCAGCCCCTTCTAACAGGAGTCTCCCAAAGGCCCAATATTAAGGATATTCACCCTGATCTCACATCACAGTTACAGCTCTAGAAGGCCCTCGGGTGGTTCGGATGCAAACCAGGGTTTATAGTGGCACATCTTTTCAGGAACGTGACTCGATTAAGCTTCACCAGTGTGAATTCCTCCATGAAGACAGGGCGTAATGTGATCAGGGTCTCAGGCAGGCTTGGGACCAAAAGCCGCTCCAAGCAGAAAGAGCCAGTGCTAGAGAGGTGTTGATCAACTAATCCAACCCAGCAGAGGGGCCAGAGCTGAGCAATTCAGTAGCCAGGTGTATGGGCATGGGAATTAGGATCTCAATCCAATTTTGTCATGTGCATGAGTGAGGCTCAGGCCTGCAGCATTCGGTGGGGGGGGGGAGGGAGGGGAAACATGAGGACCACCATGTAGTCTGACATACATGTTGTACGTCACTATATCGTGTCCTGCAAAGGTGTGGGGGAGGGGGAAATGGAACACACAGACCTATGAAAAGTCAGGAGCACAGGGGCAGATAAGGTCTGAGAGGGGTAACTGCGCCATTTGCCCCACAGCAAATGACTCCCTCATCTAGCCCCCAGTGGACAAGGGAGAATGGGTGTGGGATAGTTCAGGATCTAGAGAGAAAAAGTTGAAATAAAGGACATGGAAATTAGGATAAATTCAAGCTGGCGTATTTGCCTGGAGACAATACAGTGCACAGAACTAGGACCAATGCTCTTAGCGTCGGAATAACCCTTTCTGGTCTCCTAGCTTGCTTAACTTCTGCCCAGTCACTTCAGGACAGCTGCTACAGACCGAGACAATGCTGATTAGAGACACCGTATTACAGGAAGAGATTGGGCAGGAAACAAGATGAACACAGTAAAATTCTCCTTCAAAACCAGGAGGGGATGGACTGATTTGAGATATCAGAGCTGGGAGCTGACAGATCTGTTGATGAAGGCACATGTGTAGTATAAGTCTGCGAGGGGGGGAGGAGGGGAATAAAACAGCAGCAATTCATCAGGGTTAGTCATGTGGACAGGGACACGGCTCCTATTGGCCAGGAACAGCGATCCACAGCCAACAGGAGCTGCAATTGCCCATACCTGCAGAGATGCAGATAAATATAGCAGCGGTGGCCTGCCAGGGGCTAACGCTGGGGAATCAGATGTGGCCCATGGCCAGTATTTGTCCACCCTTGGACTAAAGTCAGCACTAGAGCTGGGCAAATAGATTTTTTTCGGCTGACTGGCCCTTCTGGGGAAGTCAACAAAAAATTGTTCCAAGGCAAATGACAGTTTGTGTTGACAAAAATCAAAACATTCTATTTGGATTTGTACCCGGTTTTAATCACACCGACAGACTGGAATTCAAGATTTCAAACCCATTCCCTCCTTTTTTAAAGGCCAAAACAATTTGGCAGAATCAGCACACGTGCAAGAAACAATCTGCACTGCCACATCTGCATTTGTGCCTGGGGAGGAAAAAAAAAGTTTCTTCTCCCAACTCTAATCCTGATCCATCTGGCACCCGGTGTGTGTTCTGGACAGCCTGGCACATCTGCCTCCACTCTCAGCTATCAGACCCCAGCACCCACGAGAAATCTTCCACCCACTCAGCTGCAATCTTAGGTGTATGGATTTCTCACACCGACAAGCTGCTGCTGCGTCTATATAACAGTCAGATTGGGATCCAATTAAAAAAAAACCCAGAGCCCTGAATAATTAAACAATGTATGAAAGCCTAGTCAATAGATTTCAGTCCCGGGGGGAGGGAGAGGGGAGAGCTTTTACCAGCGTTAAAGGTGCCTAGTAGTCAATACTTGAATTAGGGGCCCAATCCAAAACCCCCTGAAGTCAATGCAAGTGCCTTGATTTGGATCAGGCTCTAAGAGATTTTCCTCCATAGATCCTAAGGGCCCTGATCATGCAAGGTGCTGAGTGCTGTCCACGGTCGCTGATTCCTGGAAAGACACCATGCCCCTGACAAGAGGAGCTCAGGCCGCTGGAGTCCGCGGGAGGCCGGCTATATTTGTACATCCCTCCCCCGTCCCTTCCCTCAGGTTGTAGACAGAGCCAAGAGCTGCTGCACATCAGCGGCTGCACACAGACAGGGTCATTGTAAGAGACATCCTAGACAAGGCTGCGCTGGGGAAAGGAAGACGTATGGCCCAAAGGAACGGGGAGCACGTGGTCTGCAGAGCAAGAGGGAGAGCGTTTGTGGTGGGGGGAGGAGGTGAGGCAGGAATCTGCAGGAGTTAAAAGGAAGGAAATAATATTGGTCCAACGAAGGGGACCAGCGGGCAGACCAGGCGGCAGTCCCAGAGCCCCTGACGGCAGGGTGAAAGACTACGGGGGATTGGGCAGAAATACATTTACACCAGCCTGCGATGGGACTCGCACCCTTTCCACGGATCCCCCCCGAAACCCGTTCCAGTGCCACGACTCGCCCGTGGCTGAAGCAGCAAGAGGCAGCAGCTGAGAGGGAATCCTTAAGACAGGCAGCCCTAAAGGCCCTGCCTTTTATCATCACATCCCTCCCGGGGGCCCTAACGGCCTCTACACAAATGCCCCGTTAGTACGATCAACTCTCTAAGCTCTAAATCTTGCCATTACCCCTAAGCTCTCCAGGCAGGGTCAGCATCCGAGATAGGGTTACACCTAGACATTAAATACTAAAAGCTCTTTATAAAGAACTCTGTCTGCTTAATATACAATGCCACCACCTACCCCTTTGTTACAAAGATCCCCCATCCAGGGCACGGCAGTGGAACCCTCTAGCTCAACTTGTGCTCTGTCAGTAGCACGGCCTGTCGATAAGCCGTGTGTCCCTTAGCACACGCGCCCAGCCCGCTACGCACGCCCAGGCTCTCTGGAGGGGAAGTCGGATGAGAAAGCTGGTGCCAAGGAGATCGGTCAATATCCAGCGCCGTGGGTGCGGTCCCGATCCCGCGGGGGTCCGTACGTCCCTGAGGATCACTGCAGAGTACAGGCTGAGACAGAGGAAACAAAGGTGGGGGACAGAAGAGAAGATGATTTACTTACTTGTGAACTAGAGCAGGCACTAGGGTGTCACACACCATGAAACGCAAAAATAATAAATTCCACGGGTGAGAGAGTATTTGTTTGCTACTGGACTCCCTGGCAATTAATCACGTTTATTACGGTTCTGCCTAGAGACCAAGCGAGATCAGGACCTCATGGTGCTAGTTTAGACAGTGACTGCTCTACGTGTGCTGTCTTGTCACAGGCCAGCTCCACAACCAAATACATAGGGAAGGACTGGAACGTCACTTCATCCACAAATTCAGTATACATGCTAATGGACTCAATCGAGATATGGGCTGGCTAGGACACTACCTACTTCATAACCACTGAAGGTGCTAACAGCTCGGGGAGTGGTATCCTTCCTGTCTTAGCATCTATCTATGTACTTTGATCTGCTTAGGTTTAAGTACCGATTCTCCAGATACTTAATGATGCCTTGTCTCTCACACACCCTTCCTTCTTTTCCCTTTTTCTCCCCCCTCTCCTATTTATTTCAAGTTTTCATATCCCCTACTCATAACTCCGACCATCTGAAGAAGTGGGCTGTGCCCACAAAAGCTCATGACACCATCTACATGTTTTGTTAGTTTATAAAGTGCTACCAGACCATTTGTTGTTGGTTTTTTTGCTGGATTTTTAGTGCAGCATCAGAAAACACTGGCCAACAAGGATGGTTTAAAACCAAGGTGCCATGCAACTTGGGGCTTTGCTGCATTTGTTTCCAGCTTTGCTCATCAAGGAAAGAGCTGTCTTGCAAACACGGCTGTTGCCTTAAAAACAACCCGGGGCCCAGCTCCCTCAGGAAAGACGCTGCTCCGAGCCACTCAGACCTCGCCGCGCTCCGTGCCAGGGCGAGGAACGGAGCAGAAACTGGCAGAGCTCGGGGGGGTGGGGGGAGGCGAGTGGACAGAGTGATACACCCCACCCTTTTCTGATCTCTAGGGCTTGCAGCCCGGAAGACAGTGGTGGGGAAGGGCAACCCCTCCCTGCCACCAGGTTTAGCAACATCCCAATTAAAGCAAACCCAAGCGCAAGACACTCTGGTGCTGAGTCTGCTGCAGCCAGAGGGCTCGGAAGACAGGGAGCAACAGAAAGAAAAGTTCTATTTTCCCTCCCACTCTGACTCCCTGAAAGATCACTGACTAAGGGCCTTTGGGATGAACCAGGGATGTAAAATCCCCAGTAAGCAGTTAACCAGTTCACCAAGTGGGATCCAGGCTGGGGACCGCTCCAGCCCAGCTAGAACAGCCCCCAGCCTGCAGGGCTCCTGCCCCCAGCTGGGGCTGGCGGCCAGCTCCCAGCCTCCCCCGGAGCAGCCCCTGGCCCAACCCAGACCCAGAGCAGGCAGCGAGCTGCTCCATACCAGTAAGCATTAGGGATGTCAACATGTAGCTGACTACACAATTAACCAATAAGCTTCTGTATCAGGAGGTGGGAGCCTTTTAAGCCATGTGTATTGGTTCCCGTGGAGCTGCCTGCTCCCCACGCTGCTGCCTCTATCAGAGGCAGCTGGGAGCCAGCGCTCCTGGGGAGCCAGCTTTTAAGCCAGCACCCCGCAAGCACTGGCTCCCCCTCCCCCGTGTAAATGTGTCACTGCTAAAATTTCAAGGGGCGACATGTTTACACAAATGCCAGATAGTTAACATCCCTAGTAAGCATCACCCGGTTAGGCAGATGCTTACCAATTAACCTTTAGAATGAACTAATTGCGGTGTTTCTTCATCCAGCATTGAACCAATGGCCAGGAGGAACGACTGTCCTGCCAGAGCACTAGGAGCTCAAAGGTTACTGCTTGGGCAATGCAATTCGCCGCTTTCCTTTACGACAGCTCACTTCCAGCCTGGGCCCCACCTAGCTCAATGCAGAGCCCGAAAGACCTGATCCGATGCCTAGAGGCGAGAATGAGCGTCTGGCTTCAGCACGTGTTGGATCAGACCCCAGATCTCCCTTCTGCTGTTGAAGAGCACGCCCAAGGTCACGGCCCGGCCAACTCCTTTCCAGGCACTGTGGGGATTGTGAGCCAAGGAAGCTGCAGTCCCCGAGCACACAGATCTCTGTGGAGACAGCTGCTCCTATTTACTCTCCCTTCCCCACCTGTTGAAGCCACAGCGGAGACTCATTGGCTTGGACGGCCACCGGATCAGGCCCTTATGAACTTGAAATGGGGCGGGATGTAAGTGCAAGGGGGCTGGGTTTGGATTGCCAGGCCCCTCAATGCGAGCAGTCCCTGGAAACTCCGGAAGATCCACCCACACAAGCCACTGCGCCGTTCCTTTATTTAAAGGGATATCGACTTTAAAAACCATCACTTCGGTCAGCCACTGGTTTACGTGCAGTTGTAAGAAATGTTACGTTACAAGTGACCTCTCCATTGTAACAAGGCTTGCTGGAATTCAACTGTATTTGTTTGATCATTTTGACAGATGTTGATTTTAAAGGATCTTTAAAAGAGTTTTATCTATACAAAATGTTCTCACTAGCATAAAATTATGGGTTTTCAGCTTTGTTTTTACTTTTATCAGTTTAAATTGTCAGACCTGTGGGAAAGTGCAGGGCAGACAATTACTGAAAGACAACAGATGTGGATTCAAAAAGTTAAAGCTTTATAACTGTGAAAATACAAACTGTCAACATGACATTCAAATATGCAAAGTAAACACCCTGGAATCCCATTAATAATTTCTCAAGCTGCATGCTGTGTTACTTTGCCCATCTGTAAATTTTAATTGTTGTCAATGAGAGAGAGAGAGAGATAAAAATTGACATTTTAACATTTATCAATACAAATCTAACCCTTCCAAGGCTACTTATAACAAGAGATTAAAGAGAAATATCATTCTCTATTTTTTCTCTGCTTTGTGCTTTTGTCAGGACATTCTGAAGTCACTTTCACTTTTTACCCTGTTTGGTCAGACTGTTTATGTCACTCCCTCCCTTTTTGGGAGTCTCATGCGGTAGGGTGTGGGGTGTGAGAAACTGGGAGGTGTGATTATTAACCAATCATAACATGTGGCAGTGGGGGCTACAGCAGGACTTGACAAGATTTCAAGCTGACAGTGCTGCTGTTTCCTTTCAGTGACCTTAAACATTCACTTCCCACAGAACACCAGCCCTGAACTCTGTTTAACTTCGAGAACAGGTACATTGCATGCAGGGCAAGCTCCCAACACCCTGTTCCAAAGGGATCGCCTGTAGGAGTGACAGGATCATGGGGGTGTCTGACCACTGGATTCGAAGGCTACCTACGAAGCAGCATGAGTCAGTCGTGAAGGCAGGCTCCTGTCATACGGAGACCGTTCTCAAGAATAGCTTACGTCAGGACATGTAAGCACTTACCCGTCAGGCGGAAACCGCGTTTGGTCAGTTCCCAACTGGGCCGACAATCAAGTGATCTTAAGCATTCGAGATCCAGGGGACGGGGAAAGACTCCACCCTCGCCCCCAGTTCTCTGTTTCCACTTTGCAACGCCCAGATCCACCCGTACGGGTGTGAGTGGACAGTAGAAGATACTCCTCTAATACAGCGACACTTTCCCAGCGACACCCTCCGGAGATTGCTAATCAGATGCACCTGGGGGCGGGGGGAGGGAGAAGAGAGCTCTTGTGCACAGAAAGGTGGACGGTCACTGGGGGTCAGCGGGCCCGACCCACAGGACTAGCCCCACAGCTGCTGCTGGAACAGCCCAGCTGATGGCACCGTGCCTGCTGCAGACTGGCATGCCGCAATCCCCCGGCTTCCCCACTCGCCTAGGCTGCGCTCAAGAGCTTACCGCGGGAAGGATGTAGGATTAAAACAATCATCATCATAAAAAGCCCCCTCCGGGCCTCCAGGAAGGATTTTTGTGTCAAATGCGATGGGCTGAGCCCTTCATTTCCTACCCATCGGAACCTTCTCAATTACAAACCAAATCCCCGTTCCCCATCTGCTCCCGTGCGGCTGCACAGGGCCTGCAGCCGAAAACCTACTCTGCTCGCAAGTTCCATTAGCCCCTGACCTCCTTCCTCTGTCAGCATGTCAGGGAAGAGTGCGGAGAGGATTTTTGTGTCAAATGCGATGGGCTGAGCCCTTCATTTCCTACCCATCGGAACCTTCTCAATTACAAACCAAATCCCCGTTCCCCATCTGCTCCCGTGCGGCTGCACAGGGCCTGCAGCCGAAAACCTACTCTGCTCGCAAGTTCCATTAGCCCCTGACCTCCTTCCTCTGTCAGCATGTCAGGGAAGAGTGCGGAGGAGAAA